TTGGGTCTGATAAGGTCAGTGAAATCCCCTCAGGATTTATCCTGAGATCCTGTACCTCAGATTGTAGAACCTTTGACAGTGTCAGCCATGTGGATGAGTCATGGCCATTGCTTGGCCAATGTTAAGAGCCTAGCTTTCCATGAAGGATCCAATTCATATGCAGAATGAATGGCAGTGATTAGACTCACTGATTTTGCCTGCAAATTGAGGATTGTGACAGTCACAGTCCAGGAGCTTCTGATGTTGAGATCCCTGTGGCCTGGTTCTCATCTCTCCAGATGTCTGGTGGTTTATTCATCTTGGATAAAATATCTGCTTAATAAAATTCACTTGCTGCAAATAATTTGAGTGAAGTTCTGTCCCTTGCAAAAGTATATTCTAAGGTAGTGCTATATTACCCCAGCTAGTTCTTGTCATGTATGGATGCCCAAGTTACTGTGCTACAAGAATAATTGCCATATTTAAGAAGCCATATATCACCTTTGAAAATATTTGGAAAGATAGAAGGAAAATACTGAAAATATATCTTGTTGCTCAAATTCTCCAAATATCATGGAAAATATTTTTAAAATATTCCACCTGATCACGTGAAGCAAATATTGTGCTGACATGGTGGCACCTTCCCTGTAATCTCAGCACTCAGGAGGCTTAAGCAGGACTGCTGTGAGTTCAAAACCAGTTTGAACTGCATAGTGAGACCCTGCCTCACAAAGATTTAAAGAAAGAAGAAGAAAAAGGAAAGTAACTATTGTTTAAGAATATACTTATGGCTGCTGTGCATCTTGCAGTACAATTGAAGTATTATAAATATCAAAATTAAATAACTTCCTTATAAAATGACGTTAAGAATCCTAACAGATAAAACTTCCAGAATTATTATTATTATTATTATTATATTTATTATTATTATTTTGGCAGAATCAGGGATTTAACTCAGGCCCTTGCACTTGCCAGGGAAACACTTCTTCTACTGAGCCATCTCCCTGGCCCCTCAGAGTTACTTTGTATAGGTAGTTTTTAAATGAAGGAACTATAAGAATAGACTAATAACGGATTTTTTTAAAGTTCTGACAACAAAATAAATATATTGCCTTCTTTGGACACATGTAGGTAGCAGCCTTAATTCCCAAATCTAACTCTATTGGATTTTTTCTTTTTTTTTAATTTTTTTGTCATTTAAAAAATCAGTATCTTCTTTGGAGAAATTATCATATAGTTTTAATGAGCTGGAGTTACTTGTATTTTTTCAGCCAATTTTTCCCATGGATGCAAAGCAATTGAAACAATCAGAAAAGCACACCCCAGCACACCTGATAGAAACTTACATGTCTGAGACTATGCAAAGATTTAATTGTGCAAGTACTACCAAGATCGAGAGTATTTGAAGTTTTCCTAGCTGACTTTATTGCCACATTTTTGTCATATACAATGATCACATTCATCATTTGGACTTTGTACCTGGACATAATATATCTTAATTCTGGTTTCCCACTCCCCCCTCCTCCCTTCCCCTCTCCATTGACAAAACTTTATATTTATTGATTCCTTCTCTTTTTAAAACTCCTCCCTTCCTTCCCTCTCCCTCCTTTGTTCCCCTTCTCATGTCAACATTTTCTTCCTACTTCTCAATACTTATCTTCCATTTTCAAAACTAAGCTGTCAGCCTCACCTTCCAGTGTGTGGAGGGGAAAGCCTGGTGGGTTGGAGTCGCAGCTGGGCACACGGCAGCATAAGCTGAAGCCTGGCACTTGGGATAATCTTATCATTAGAATTCCATGAATCATCTTACTTGTTTGGTGCAGTTTGATTAGATTCCTAGTATGGTTAATGTTTCGCCAGAACTAGTGTTCTTTTTCTGTACAGACTGGAGATTTAATTCGGCATTGAGAGTTTAGAAGTAAATCAACCATCAGTGAAAGGAAAAAAAATCTGAAAATATCACAACCCCAGCTTTACATCAGTTTTCAAAATGCGTACTTAAACTGATAACTCTTTATCATTATGTTTAGGCATTTGGAAGTTTTCCTGAATTTTTCCCTGTTGAGAGTGCTTGGTTGAGAGTGAAACAAAAACCTGGCTTATTTCTGTAAATGATGCTTGGGGTAGGTGGTATGGCAAAGGAGCTCGTCAAG